GCCCCCGTGCCGCTCAGTAGTGGGATCGCGCCTGTGAATAGACGCTGTAGTGCAGCCTGAGTAATACAGCGGGACCCAGTCTTTTTACACTCTCTGTACTGTTCAACACACACACACACACAGTCAACAACAATGTCTTTACATGTGCATCACTGCTTCCTGCTCCTCCTGTTTCTGTGAAATCCTCCAGAAACCACTTCTGTTTGTCGGCTCTACAGCGCCTCCACCTGGAGGAGAGGAGCAACGACACCAATCACACCAACAGCACAGATACAGTAAACTAACTGCTGCTTCTCTCCTGTTCTGCACCCTCACTGCACCTTTCAGTCTCTGCACATTGCCTCAGTGAATATGAAAACTATCGGTGTAATTCTATTCTATATGCAGAAGCAAAGTGTGCTGCACTTTGTTCTAACTGCAATGGGAAGATACATCATGTAAAACAACAACACATTCTTTTCTCTGCTGCCTGAAGCTCGAGACTGACAGGATGAGGTAGAGTTTCTCCCCTGACGTACATGACTGTCACACAACTGGCTGTTACAATAATAATAAAACTTGATTTGTGTTGATGCAGATCAACCTGATCACAATAATAACGCTGACATAATAATGATAACAGTCATTAATGTGATCAGTAACTCTGCTTTTCCTTCTGTGACAAGTCAGAATGTCTGCTTTACCTTTTTTATGAGAAAGTGTAAGTGAGAAGTTGAATAAAAGGAGTGTTAAGTGACGGAATCAGGTCTGCATGTTGGAAGGTCATTCGAGGGTTCTTCCACTGAAAGAATGAGTGATGTTAGATATCTGCCCTCAGGTCCACATGCTTGTTATGCTCCATCGGGGAAATATGCAGCAGTCCACCAGTGTAACAGGAAACCACAACAAAAAAGGAATGCCAAAAAAGTAAACAAAAAAAGCCCTGTTTCTGTCTAAAGCATGTTTTGCATTAGAAAAGTGATGTGGTTTTAAGAAAATATATCTAACTTTAAAATTCTAATGTAATATCACAGCTCCTATTGAGCTCGATTTAAGCAGTAACAAGTTACAACAATGGTTTGTACAATATCCCAACAGAGGAACTGTTTGGATTGTATTCTCCTTATTTAGTAAGGCCACTTGCACAACTTCTCTATTTAAGATTAGTCCCAGTCTTATAAATGAAGCAACTGTTTAGTTTGTCATTGTTTTAATAAAAAATGATAAAAATAAGAATGTTTCTGCTGCCTTCATTTAAGACAAAGTCACTTACGCTGTCAGTACGCTATTTGAATACATTTTGTCTTATTATAAGATTGTTTTGCTAATTATTAATCTTAGATTGAAGTTCAAATTCTTAAATTTAGATCCATAAAATGACCAAAATACTTAATAACTGAGTTTTCACTGTGTGTAATAAGCACAACTTGATGTCTGGCATTTCTTTCTAGTTCTAAGACCCATTAAAGTCTTTCTGAGGATAGATTTTTATGCTAGCTTTAACAATTCTAGCCAATCATAACTGGCAAATGTTTTGGCTCAATACAAGAAATGTGATTATATTTAAGAATATTTGGCTTGTTTCTAGAAGTTTTTGCAGTGTTCAAGTTAAGTCTCAAATTCCTTATGGTTGTTATGAGCATTCTTATTATTGTCTATTATCTGCTGAATGTCATCCAGTCTGCTGAGAACAATGCATAGCTATAGCTAAGGAATTCAAAGATTTGTGAGGCAGTTAGGGCTGCACAATATGATAAAAGACAAAAGAAAATCATATAGCGATAGTTTTGATAAATATTGTGATTGTGAATAAACATTTTTGCATCACAATTTTCATTTTCACTGATAAAAAACTCATGATGACATGACACTGGTTGGGGTCTGTACCAAACTAAAGATTTGTGGGTCAGAGCATCTCTTCAGAACTACAGTACTTCATTAGAATGCTTTTTTGTCTTACCTTTATCTTTATATTATGAATCAGTTCAATGCAACAGCTCTGCCATAGATTTTCCTTCTAAAAGTTTATAATGTTCAGTTGTTTGTTGACATCATCGGAGAGTTTCCATTCAGTTATTTATTACTGAGGTCATAGTTAACAGTGGTGCTGTACTGTAGTAGATTTCAAACTGGGGTCCGGGGACCAACAGGGACCCTTGAGTGGGTTGTAGGGGGTCCCCAACAAAAAGAGATAATTGAACTTTTATCACATTTTGTAGAAGTTGGAACAATGAGGGAAGAAATAGATAAATATGGATAAAATACTTGTATTAGTGTTTGTAATTTATAGTATTCACAGTTTGATCATTGGCTATTGAGACTTTATAATCTTCAAACTTAAAAATAGAGTATTCCTTAAGACAAAGTCCTCCAAAATTAGGGTCTTGTGTGCATCTATTGTGGGGGTCCTTGACATGAAAAAGTTAGGGACTACATTATATTAAGAAGTGTTTTCTAATTTTGAATATAATTCATTTACATACATGAGGGGGCAGAATTTTAGAAAGACCTCTGACTATGCAGTCCAGTGCAACACCACTAATTGCGATCTATGCTACATACATACAACATATAATTGAACTAGACATGACAGTTGTATTGTATTGAATTCAATTTTAAAGGTGTACCTACTAAAGTGGCCACTGAGTGTATTATTTTGAAGGGAGGCACATATTGTATGTTGTACAGAATGGGCACAGTTTTTATTATAAGATTTGAGTCTGGAGTTCACAGAATGTGGATGCAATTAAAATAGTGATGACAGTGAAAAATAAATGAAGTAATAATGTAATGTGTAGGTCACTGCAGGTTTTGTTCAATTGCGTGTGTGGTGTGTTTTTATGATTTTGAACTTATTGTGGCTTATATTTTTTAAACATGTGTTTGGGACTTACCTGGTTTTTCAGGTTACATGAACGTAGCCACTGTCACCAATGCTTGGCCACTTCCTCCTAGCTGTGGGAGGAGTAATTCACAGGCTAAATGCTATGCACAGTCAAAGACTAAATGCTTGTCTGTACCTGGAGTGGTAAGAGGTAACACCTGTCATCATGGACAGAAAAATATTTTGTTGGATATTTTTGCTTGGATATTTCCATGCATCCTCTGGACAAGGTAACTACTGATTACAAGTTTCATATGGCTTTGATTGTTTGTACTTTACTTTATAATATGCCATATTGTATCAGAGTAGACTATTTATATATTGACAGTATTGCTACCTGTTATTGCCTGCCATTGATCTGTCTTTTAATTGCATTCTAATTAAATTAACTTGACTAATTAGTAATTTAGTAAGTAACTGAATGATTATTATCAATTATTCTGTAAAATAAGTTATTATGTGATTACAGTGGGGTTCAATAGAGCTTTGTTTGCTTCAGTTAATTTACTGTCCTAATTATAGTAGATCCTGTTTGGCAGACAGCACAGTGTCAGTGTTTCACCTTTGAAAACAGGACATTTGAAAAGTTTATTATTTGTTCTAATTAATTGGCTTTAATCACCACAACTGAATCCACCACAACTCTAGTGATAACCAGCACAACTGAAGCCATCACATCTCCGGCTGCAACAACCACAACTGGAGCCATCACATTTTCGGCTACAACAACCACGGCTGGAACCGCCACAACTCCAGCTCTAACTACCACAACTGGAGCCATTACATTTTCAGTTCCAACCACCACAA